ATGTTTTTACCTCCACTTTATTCAACAGAATATGCAGCCCAGAGTTGAGCACAAGATTGTAACTAGACAAACAGCCATTGATGGATCTGAAGGGACACTCAGCATATCCTGAAGGCCAAGGGGAAACTGTATAACTTTGAGAGGGAAAGTATAACTCTCAGAAGAACATGGAAGCAGCCACATAAACTATACAATGTAAGATCTTGTTTTGCAGTAATGTCGGAATCTAAGTTTTCATTGAAATCAAAGTAAAAACCAGTTAAATGTCATCTCGTGGAGATTCATATCACATCCAAGTAATATAGAATCCCACTACCACTGAGGTAGACCAGTTCTCTAAAAAGTGCTCAGTATTGTAGCTGTGGTGCTCTATAAGTAGTTCACATGCACCTTACAAGTTAAGCACTCCCAGTGTGAGCTTTCAGGAACTGCTCTAATTTTGTCCTGAAATGACCCTGTACATTGACAATAAGAATAAACCCATTTTTCTCTTTCAAGCAGAAAGATATCTCATTCAGTCACCGTGTTTGTCTCACTTGATGTCAGCCCAAAGTGGATCATGGGGTCCCCTGTGTTGTCTGTTGTTTGTACTTAGCCAGCAGAGCTTTGCTGTTCTGGGTGTGCTTCACTCCTCCCCTGTCATTTTCTCACGAAATTGGTCTTAGGGATATGATTAAAAAGTGAGATTGATAAAACATCTCTAGAACATCTGTGTGGTGTCTGGAGCAGACTTGGATGGCTCTGAAGAGAGATGGATGTCGCTTCTGCTTTGGAGGCTCTGATTTTGATCTGATCTCGACCCATACTGCTAGCCTTCCCATAGATGGTTCGGTCCTCTGGTTAGTTTTTTTTCTTCATTCATTCATACATTTCCAAAACAAAACCCAAACTGTGGGGTGCCTGGCTGGCTCTGTCGGTTAAGCTGGGTCATGATCCCAGGGTCCTGGGATGGAGCTGTATCCAGCTCCTTGCTCAGGGGGAGCCTGCTTCTCCCTCTGCCTCTGCCTGCTGCTCCCCCTCCTTGTGTACTCTCTCTCCCTCTCTCTTTCTCTCTATCAAATAAATAAAGAAAATCTTAAAAAAAATAATAAACCCAAAGTGTGAAGTGTAGTAGTAATAAGACTCAGCAGTGAGTGACGGGATACAAACAGCCTGGTCCTTGCTTTGGGAGAAACTGGCAGACTGCCCATGGCAGGAGAATCCAATTTATGCTCTGTGCCATCAGTGATAACCATTGTCAGGGTTCGTGTTGCATCTCGGAGATCCCAGGACCATTCTCCTCTAACATTGGGCCAATAATGTTACATGTACTGTATTTGTCTTTTGTGTGCTTATCAAGAGGTCTATGGAGTAGAAACCATAATTAAGGAATAATGAGAGGAATCAGACTTTTTCAAAAACTAGTACTTTGAAACATGAAAGTCATGGTCATTAATCCTTTATGATGATAAACATGATGAAAATGCAGAGGAATAGGAAAAGAAATGAAAATCATCCAGTTCTAGAAACGCTGTGGTTAACATTTCGGTATCATTTTTGCTCTTCCTTTTGCATAGATGAATGTGTAAAATGTGTGGTATCAGACTAGAGTTTTGTATTAGGCTTTTGTCATTTATCATTACAGCATGAATATCTCTTCATGTCATTGACGATCTTAAAAATTATATCTAGTGAATACCTTGTATTTCAGTAGTTATGAATGTTATTTTGGTAGTTATGAATGAACCATAGCTTTTCATTTATGCCTGTCTTTATTGTATAAAGAATTAAAGGGAGTGTATCAGTTAGGAATTCTTTTGTCTATAGGCCATAGAAAACCTAACTTAAACAAATAGAGTTTTTTCCTTCACATAAATCTGGAGATTGCTGTTGGGGGTGATCCAGCAGGTCCATAATGTCACAACAGATGCCTTGGACTTTCTTGACCATTCCCTCACACTTATTGACACATGCTTGCAAGGGGACTGCCCAGTTCCAGGCATCACATCTGTACTCACTATGGGAAGAAGGGGGAAGGGACAGCAAAGGTAGCATCTGCCCTTTTATTAGGAAACCAAAATCTTTCCCAGAAGCTCCCCAAGCCAACTTCTTACACCTCATTGGATGTAACAGAAAGAAGTAGGAAAGCAAGCATTTCCCTTCCCAGTCACATTGGAGGCAGGCAAGGGAGAGGAAGACTGGGAGTAGGATCTGGGTTAAGCCAGATTCTGGTGTCAGCCTTGGGCACTATTATGTATTTAACTTGTCGTCCTTTAGTGGACACTTCTGTTTCCAATTATTCCTTCTTATAAGTAATTCCCAAAATATCCATGTTCATCCATTCATCAAAATCTGTGATTATTTCCTTGGTATGATGTTACAGGAGTAGAACTACAGGTTATAGATATCATGGCTTTTATATCTCTTCATACACATTACTAAGCTCCTTTCCAAGAAAAGTCTTCCAGTGCATGCTACCACACAGAGCATGAGCCATGGGCATCCCCATTTCGGACACACTCTTAGTCATCCCATCTTTAGGACTTACTGAGTCTCAGCAACTACCAGAGTACCAGCTAAGTATGTGGATGGTGACACATCGTGTTTCTGTAGGTTGCAATCAGAGGTCATGATGGAAATTGAAGGGTGTCTATCTGAAAGTGTTGTGCAGCACCCAGACCTAAAGAACCTAAAGAACTCTGGAGAGGTTGAGCTGCAAAGAAGAGTAGCAAGATGCCACAGGCAGCTGCCCTACCCTCCTCATCTGATTTACTAGTTGCATAAATACTTACTTAGCCCCATGTTTCTCAACAGGTGCAGAATGGGCATTTGGGGAGGGCTGGGTCTTTACTGTGAAAAATTTCCTTTTTTGCCTCCCTGGCCCTGCAGGGAAATGGCAGCAACACTTTCAGCCTCTGTGAGAAGCGGACCCGCCTCATGGTGTTATGGGCTACCAGGCTTATGGGGAGAACCTACCAGGCATGTTGCTTTGACTCCTTTTCAGCACATTGTGCTGTGCTCAACAAGACTGGGAAGGTAGCAGGAAGAAGTATTAAGTATTAAGTATTTAAGTATTAAGTATTTCCCCCACACCGATCTTTTCTTAGAGATTTCCAGAAATGCACATTGCCCAACTGTTCTGCCTGCAGACATCAAGGAGGAAAGGCTACACATGCAAACCCCAAGCTCAAAACTAGAGTAAAGGAGAAAGGTCACAAGAAGTGAAGGTGGTTAAAGGTGGTTTTCTATAGAAACTCAGAAGTCTGTGGTTGCCTAGGGACAGCAAGGAGAGAGGATGTTAGAAGGTGTGGGAGGATGGAAAGAACCTCCTGGAATGTAAAGGGAGCAAGAGTCATTAAGCCAGGGCCATGATAAGGGGGAAGAGAAAACACAGGGCCCCCGTGTTAGCCTGAGTTGGCCACTCTTGAAGGGAGAGTGGAGGTAAGTGACAGGTCAATAGGCCAGTCCCTGGATTGGGGCCAAGTTTAAAGTTGAAGAGCTAGCACGTGCAAAGGCCTAACTGCAGAGTCCCAGGGACCACAGAAAGTTTGGTATCACCAGAGTGTTGGTTCAGGGACTGATGGGTGGTCCACACTATGCAAGCCTTTTGTCTTATGCCCCAGAGGAAAATCTCCAGCAGATTGAAGGGAGGGGCCGGGGCTAGGGGCAGAGATGCCAGTTAGGGACCCCGTGACTGTCTAAGGAGGAGCTGGGTTGAGGAGAAGCAGGATGTAACCTAGTATGTGACACCTGACATCCTTCATGGAAGAGTGCGTTGTTTCACGTTCAGTAATTAAGTTTCTAAATTAAAATATTTTACCTGCCAAGAACATGCCAAATAGAACAGATACCAGTCACAATATAGGACAAGGAGGCTGGTGGGATATGTAAACGGTAATATTTTTCTAAAGACCTCAAATGACCAAAACAAAGGCTTGAAAGTTTATTCTAGGAGAGGGTTAACAGTTGTCTTTTCTTTAGATCATGGTGAATAAAGTTTTGTTTTGTTTATCTGCCTTTGAACCAATTCATAAAAGTTAATATTTTTAAACATTTTAAAATTCAAAAAGAGAAGAGTGTTCTTTAAGGCTGCCAGAACTTGTACATACACTTACAGCTTGGGCCGCTTTCCTTAGCGAAGAATGAGAGAACAGAGCTCTTTTGGCTTTAGCTGGAAGCATTTGGCCTGCTTGAGCAGTAGCGACAGGGAGGACACCTGTAATCTTGGTCCCCTATGTCTGCGGAACACTGCTACCTTCCCAGAGGAGGCCTGCGGGCCCTCCCTCCACCTAGGATGCAGCTCACTGCACTCGACCAAATGACCATCATCCCATCTTACAGACGGAGACACGGACTCCTGCCTGGGGACGTGCAGTGAATTAACCATGTATGGAACATTTGCAAAGTGAAAAAAGAAAGTAAATAATAGGTAGTAGGTTAATGTGTGGTAGAAGTTATGAATTCATCAGGGGGAGAGTTGCTGTAATCTCACAGGAACAGAAAGGGCGAGGTTAGTAAAGGACCCAAGTTGTGTACCCCACAGCACCAGAGCTGCCTTGGAGACTGGGCCCTGGAAGAGAGCAGGATGGGGTTAGAAGCCAGGGGAGAGTTACTTTCTCCTCAGGCAAGTCATCTCCCTTTGGAGCTCTAGTTTCCTCATCGCTGAAGTGAGGGCTTAAGTCGCTCTTGGACATCTCCTTGGTGTCACCGCTTGTGTCCTGTAACAGTAGTTCCGTGTTATGCGGACACTGAGGGCGTTTATGTAACCCTGCTCAGCGCGATGATGGACGCGCGCGCGCGCGCACACACACACACACACACACACACACACGCACACTCGTGCCGTAGAAAGCTCTGCAGCGCCTCCCTCGTTTGGAAGTGGGACTACAGCTCCCCCCGCGGCGATATTCCAGCGCCGTCTGCCGAGGCCTGCCCCTAGGGGTGTTTGGACCCTACAGCTTGCCAACCTTAGGCTTCCTATTAACCAGCGATGTTCCCTTGCAGGTTAGCACTCTGAAGCAATGGGCGACTGGAGCTTTCTGGGGAGACTATTAGAGAACGCACAGGAGCACTCCACGGTCATTGGCAAGGTTTGGCTGACGGTCCTGTTCATCTTCAGGATCCTGGTACTGGGCGCCGCAGCCGAGGAGGTGTGGGGAGACGAACAGTCGGACTTCATGTGCAACACGCAGCAGCCCGGCTGCGAGAACGTCTGCTACGACAAAGCCTTCCCCATCTCCCACATCCGCTTCTGGGTGCTGCAGATCATCTTTGTGTCCACGCCCACCCTCATCTACCTGGGCCATGTGCTGCACATCGTGCGCATGGAAGAGAAGAAGAAAGAGCGGGAGGAAGAGCTGCTGAAGGGCGACGGGCCGGCTGCACGCTGTGGGTCGGGTGGCCACGGCCAGAAGGACAAGCCACCGGTGAGGGATGACCGGGGCAAGATCCGAATCGCCGGGGCCCTGCTCCGGACCTACGTCTTCAACATCATCTTCAAGACGCTGTTCGAAGTGGGCTTCATCGCTGGGCAGTACTTTCTGTACGGCTTTGAGCTGAAGCCACTGTACCGCTGTGACCGGTGGCCCTGCCCCAACACGGTGGACTGCTTCATCTCCAGGCCCACGGAGAAGACCATATTCATCATCTTCATGCTGGCAGTGGCCTGCGTGTCTCTCTTACTCAACATGCTGGAGATCTACCACCTGGGCTGGAAGAAGCTTAAACAAGGAATGACCAACTATCGCTCAGACACCCCTGAATCCAGGGTGGGGGCCACAAAACCTGGGGGTGTAAGCCCACTCCTTCTCCCCTCCCACTCGGCCCCGCCCACGGTTACCATCGGATTCCCGCCTTACTATGCTCACTCTGCCTCTTCTCTGGGACAGGCCACAGGGGCGGGCTACCCCGGGGCCCCTCCACCAGCAACAGACTTTGACATGGCAGCCCTGTCCGAGGTCCCTGGGAAGGACCACCCTGCCAAGTTCTACAACGGCAACCACCACCTGCTAATGACAGAACAGAACTGGGCCAACCAGGAGGCTGAGCAGCAGACTTCTGCTAGGAAGGCCTCCCTTCCAGCTTCGGGTTCTGCATCCCTGAGCCCTACAGGCAGCACCAAGGAGCTCCCTCAAGAGGGTGGTGTGGGAAGCAGTGCACCTGGCCTGTTGGAGAATGGGAACGGCAGCAGCTTGGGAGAGAGCAAATTGGAAGTGACTCCCGATGATGGGGAGGAGCAGCCAGTGACCACCGCAGTGGAGATGCACGTGCCTCCCTTGCTCCCGGCAGACCCCGGACGATCAAGCAAGGCTAGTAAGTCCAGTGGCGGTCGGGCCAGACCCAATGACTTGGCCATCTAGTGGTGGTCTCTCCAGACAGCTTTATAATAACCTCTTTTCTAGCAACCAAAAACCAAAGTGCAGTTCCAGTCTGCAGGTAGAGAAAGCCTGGAGTGAGAGAGCTCTGGAGTGGAGGAAGGGAAGATCAACCGGAAGATAGCAGGTTTCTGTGTGTCCATGCTTGCTGTTCTTAACACTGTGAGGTAGAGTGGAGAGAACGTCCACGTTTGCTGAGATGAGGAGGTAGGGGCAAAGTGGGTGCAGGGGCTGTTTGACCTTTAAAGATATTCCCAACAACCCAAGAGTCCAGCAACCTGGGCCACCTTTGCAGGTGCTGCTGCCCAGCCTTGGGCTCCTGCTGTCTCTGTGGGTAACTGTTCTGCTGTGGTAAAGCAACAGGTGTCTGCAGTCACTTCAGCTCGGGGCAATTGGGTTTTCCATTCCTATTCTCTCCAGAGCCTCTGGGCTGCCCAGAAAGTCATAGACACACTTAGCACTATCTCTGTTTGATACCTTGAACTTAGAGTCGAACTTCATTTGGGATATTTGCCAAACTGCACTAAAAAAAGATTTAGAGCAAGTCCATATAGTGTCATTTGAGTTTCTGAAATTGCCTGTGAAGCCCAGGATATCAAACTGTATGCTTCGTGACAAGTGACAATGAGCAGCTACCCTCCAGAGGCAGAGTCAGTGCAGGCGAGAGCCACAGAGGTTGCTGGTAAGAAAGCAGGGAGAAATGCAGCAACACTTGAGATAATTTTTAAACAGCTGAGGAAATTGAAATGAAAGTGTGGCAGGTATGCCTTAGGTATTTATTTTTAAAATGGTATTTTGTGCTTTGATCTGAATTGTACAGGAATGCCTATCTTCCCCCACTTTCTTTCAGAAGAAATGAAAGAAAAATAGTACTATTAAAATGAATACTGACCAAGGGACTGCTAATTTGTCCCATTATGTACTAGTAAAAATTTGAACTTTTTTTTAAAAGAAATTCTTTGACCTTATGAGTCAGCTAATTGCTATGCGAATGTACCATTAAAAAATAATAAAGGAAGGATAAATTTAAGTGCATTTCAAGTACTTCAAGTTGTGAAGTTTTTGAATGGAAGGTTAAAAGTTAACTACTCTTGCCAGAAAAATTATTTAAACAGATGAATCAATGACCTACATTTTTTTTAACAGTACAAAATAAAAGTCTTTGAGTTTTCTAACCATTCTTTATGGGCAGCCTGTTTGCTTTCTAAAGTGTAAATAAAAGTATCTGGGTTTTACTTCCTGTGTAAGTGCATGTGCTGATTTCGGACGTGTGCCCCATTTGTCACCCATGCGGATTGCTGCACTGACGGCGAAGGCTCTTTCTCTACGTGGGTGTGGCTGGAACGTGGCAGAATTTTCTGTACTGCACACCCTGCTGTTGTGTCTGAGTCGCCGTTTGTTTGAAAACCGATGAACAGTGGTAATGCTGAGCCCGGCCCTTCTCACACTCCAACTTCCACTGAGTGCTGTCAGCCCTTATTCAGCAAAACACCAAACACTTGCCAATTTGATTCATTCCTTTGTGTAAATCAACACCAATTTCCCGATGACTTATCTGGGGTTACACTCCAAAACATACTTTGTGTTTTATATGGTAAAGAGTGACCCACTAGCAACCTGATGAGAAGACTGCAATTCCCATTCTCAGATAAATGTGTGCAACTAGTTCATTAGAGCCTTATGCTTGCTGCAGAATGAACTTAGATAATCTCCTCAGCTTGAAAGATGCCAGCTTCCCATAAATATCCTTTAGGCTTTTCTCAAACAGATTTGAGCATTAGAGAAAATTATTTGAGTGGCTATTTTCTCAATTCCCCCCAGGCTAGGACATAACTCATGCCACTGTAGGTTGCAGAGGAGAAAAGATTGATCATCACCTACAGTGGATGCCTTAGGCTTCATGCAGTAGGACCTAGTTCTCTGGGGTGAGAAGGGCTGCCAACAAATCTTAGTTTGAAAAGCATTCTGATTAAAAAAAAAAAAATAGCTTTGGTCACAATTCAGTTAACAGACAGCCAAAGTGGATGTGAACACAGGTCCTTTAGGTTCTCCTATGATAAATGTTAATAGTAAGCTTCTGATTTACCCACAATTTGATTTTGACTGGGGTTGGAGATGAGTGTGAGAGCTATAATTACATTTAGTTTTTACATTTTAAAATTGGATTTTATCCACCCCATGTTGATGAAGACGCCAATATTGTGAATTGACCATAGTCTAGTTGGCCTGTGTAGTGCATGGGTGTAGTGTGAAATTTGATTCACCTCCTTGAAAACCACTCATTTATAAAGAAGTAAAATTCTGTGATAAAACAGTGCCCGTAGTATTTTTTCAGAGTAGTGTTCTGATTTCAATTCATGTAAAAAATGAAAGCAGGTGTTCCACTGTGTTGCTATTTGAAGTATCCATGACTCTGAAGTCTAGGGTCCTTCTCCCTCACAGGGATGTAGGAGTGTGAAAGGGTGCTCTCTATTTAGCCAGTCACTGAAAGCATTAGGATGTGCAACAAAAGTAGACATCACCTCTCCCTATGGTCAAGATTCTAGATATGTTTTTTCTTTCGCCTGTTAATTATTTGAAAATCTCACTGAAATTATTATTATCTTGATTTAATGGAAAAAAATTTAGTTCCATAAGTTTCTTTTAAAACTCAAATGCTCTAATATATTTATTCATATTATGTTTTAATCTGCAGCATGCAAGACAATTACTCTCTTGCATCCGTATTTGCAGAAGCTCAATTACCCTGTTGGCACTACATTAATCCATGATAATGATAAAATGTCAAGCATTACTAATCCATCTTCAAATCCATTTATTAAAATTCCAAAACATTTCTTAATCATTCACTTTCTCCTTTTTAAACTTTATTTTACAGAATTATTTTTCCCATGAAATTAACAGAAAAGATACCTTAAGTTTCAAAAGAAAATAGAAAGGGGAAAAGATCCAGCCAGAATATTTCTGATCCATCCTGACTTTCCATGTTTGTTAAGTGGCTAGATCATAGATTTCTTATACAAGAACACCTGGAATTAGAACTATAAATAGAATTCAAACATTATTTAAAAAGATTAAATTCATGAGATTTAAGTCTCTTTTCAATATAGGCTTTTTTTTTTCTACTAACACTTTCTTTAGTATTTTTGAAAAAGAGTCCTTTTGCGGGCGCCTGGGTGGCTCAGTGGGTTGAGCCGCTGCCTTCAGCTCGGGTCGTGATCTCGGGGTTCTGGGATAGAGTCCCGCATCACGCTCTCTGCTCAGCGGGGAGCTTGCTTCCCTCTCTCTCTCTGCCTGCCTCTCTGCCTACTTGTGATCTCTCTCTGTCAAATAAATAAATAAAATCTTTACAAAAAAAAAAAAAAGTCTTTAAAAAAAAAGTCCGTTTGTTGAATATTTTTCTTTTGAACCTTTCCTTTTGGTATTTGTAACATTGATTTGTGGCTCTGCACCAAATAAATTCTTTTACAAAGTATTGCATGATTTAAAAAGATAAATGTTTTTGTAAAGATCAGTAGATTCCTGCCACTACCCCACCCCCACCTCCATGGAGTTCAGTATATTCTCTAAATAACTTTTAAATACCCTCTAACAGGAAGGCATTGTACATTAAAGTCTGAAAATGTATTTCTCATTCTAATTTTATATCATTACACTGCACAGCTGAAGTTTATGCATCCTAAGATTTCTTATTGCCCAAAATATTTTTTTTCTTTGCATTATAGAATGTCCTAGCAAGACTTTTTATGGTCAGCTAGAAATTCAAATAACACTAAGAGCAGTGAACTGTTTCTAGTATTATATTTGAAAACGTTTGGTATGTAAGTGTAACTTAGATCATAATATTTACAAAACTCTTACTAAAACTTTATTTTTTGTGTTAGAATCTTTCCTCAACTAAATTGTAACTGAAAATAAGCATTTTATAAGCTAAGTAATAAAAAGTGGCCTTAAATGTAAATCACCAGCTCTGTAGTTGGTTGTTTTTATCGATAGAATCCCTGAGCAGGTTTTCAAAGTAAAAATTTTCATCTAGATAGAATAAGGAGCAAAAAATTTCCTACAAAAGAAGTTTGAGAAATTTCTGCAGCGGCTGTTCTGTCTTTTCACAGGTACTTAGAAACTTCAAGTAGCCTCTTCTAAGGGTTCCCCGTAGCATTGCTACTACCTCTTGCTGTATGTTCTCCAGAAGAAATAATGTGCACGTTAACCTTGTCTGTCCCCTTAACTCCTCCTTCGTGCAAGATCCTGCTAAGCGGTACTGGGCTTCCGATAGCTGAGAGATCCCTTTGTCTCGCGAGGCTGGAGTTTATCGTTCTCGGCGACGACTTTTCTGTATATAATTGTGTAGTTGTCATCTTTGCTTTTACGACGCTTGGCAATATCTGTAACTTGTCCGACTCCTTAATAGAAACGCAATCCGCACTTTCGCTGTTCTTGCTTTCGCAAATCCGCACATCGATTTGCGGGATGATTTCCAGGGACGCGGTGTAACAAAAAGAGACCCGCCTGGCTGTTTCGAAGGCTCTAAGGCAACGCAGCATGCAAAATTCAACCCCACCAAACACGAATTGGTGAAAATTTCTCCCATTTCCGACCATAAGGGCCAAAGCCTATTCTGACGGAGGTTTTGGCAAGAGGCTGCGCCCTCTGGTGCAGGGCCAGCGCGTGGCGGCCCACGGGAAGGTGGCCCGAACCCACAGCCCCCGACCAGACGGCAGCGCCCTCGAGGAGAAGGGAGGGGAGGCGGCGACGGTACCCCGGGGACCCCCGGAGGGCGACGACGGGGCGGGGCGAGAAGAGTGGGGTTGGGGCGGTCGCTGTCCCCAGGCCATTGCCCGGCGGGCTTCTGCAGACGCGCAGCGCAGAGTGGCAGCCGCTGCACAGCCAGTCCCGCGCCCGGCTGCTGAATGCCACGGAGACCAGAGCACGACTCTGCGGGCCCAGCGCGGCCAGCACGGAGCGCACACCCGAGGGCTTCATTC